ACTGTTTCCAGCTCCCTGCTTGTGGCCTGGGAAAGCAGTCGAGGACGGCCCAAGGCCTTGGGACCCTGAACCTGCATGGGAGACCCAAAAGAAGCTCCTGGTTCCTGGCTTCAGATCGGCTCAGCTCTAGCCACTGCAGCCACTTGGGGAGCGAACTATCGGATACAAGATTTTCCTACTCTCTGTGTATCTTTAAAAAAAAAAAAAAAATATATATATATATATATATATTTGTTTTTATTAGAAAGGCAGATTTAGGGAGCAGCACAACCGCTCAGCAGTTAAAGCTCTTGCCTTGAATGTGCCAGGATCCATATGAGCACTGGTTCTAATCCTGGAAGCTCTACTTCCCATCCAGCTCCCTGCTTGTGGCTGGGAAAGCAGTCGAGGACAGCCCAAAGCTTTGGGACCCTGCACCCGCATGGGAGACCCGGAAGAAGCTCCTGGATCCTGGCTTTGGATCGGCATAACATTGGCCGTTGTGCTCACTTAGGGAGTGAGTCATGGGACAGAAGATCTTCCTCTCTGTCTCTCCTCCTCTCTGTGTATCTGACTTTCCAATAAATAAATAAAAATCTTTAAAAAAAAAAATTTACTTAGCAAGGTATGAGAGATTTCTCTGCAACACCCCCAAAATCGTTGCACACCTCAATTGAGGAGGTGACATTGAAATAGTTGTAGAAGGTAATCAAGAACTTACATGTAATTTTAACATATTGTCTACTCAATACTATGTCAGACATCTAATGTTTGCCTTGATTTAACCTGTAATTTATACTTGGTTGATTGTAACTTTTTGAACCTGTCACTGATACTGTCTAAACCCAGAGGTTTTGAAGAATTGAACTTTTTTTTTTTTAAACATATTGTTCACTCAATACTATGCCAATTAATCCCATAACATTGTATATCGACGCTGATGTTTTGTTGAGGGTTTTAACTGACCGGAACTTTACTCTGTTAGCTCTACCTTCAGACCAGAGAAGGTCTCCCCAAGAGGCCACTGAACTTATCTGGACAATAAGACGCTGGACTTTATGCTAGGTATATGCTTACAATGAAGGAATTTCAACTGAACTTGAACCGCGATTAGGCAGCAAGGTGGAGCAATCCACTATGGGAGGAGGGGTGTGGAAGGGGTGGGGGGGACTCCCCAGTGCTTATAAAACTGTATCACATAATACAATGTTAATAACAAATAAAAAAAATATTTACAAATTTGGGCCCAGTCTCTCAATTTAAGAATTTTTTTAAAAATATTAGTTACATGGAAGTTGGTGCTGGGGCAAAAGTTAAATTGCAGCCTGCATCAGTTCAAGTCCCAGCCACTCCACTTCTATTCAGCTCCCTGCTAATATGCCTGGGAAAGCAGAGAACATGCCCAAGTACTTGGGCCCCTGCACCCATGTGAGCGACCCAGTAGTACCTGGCTCCTGGCTTGGCCCAGCCCAGCCCCCACAATGGTGGCCAGGAGAGGATGGAAGATCTCTCTCCATCTCTCCCTGCCTTTCAAATAAATAAAATAAATCTTAAAAAGAAAATTAGCTGAATTATGAGCTTCATACTTAAGAATTTTGTATTATTTTCTGATGTGAAGCAGAGGGGACTAAGTTAGTCCCATCTCCTCGTTCTCCCCAAATGCCTGCAGTGACTAGGCCAGGGCTGCGCTGGCAGGGAACCAGGGGCACCATCCTCACTCCTTGAGCCCTCACCTACCATCTCCCAGGATCCACACTGGCAGGAGTCAGAGCCAGGCACTGAACTCAGGCGCTCGGATACGAAGGCATACATCTTCACTCTGAGGCCAAATGCTCATCCACTGGCTACTTTAAAATAACTGTGTATTGGTCATATCCCCCTACACCTGACAAAGTGACAACACAGGAAAATGAACACATCAAGTTTCTATCACAAACTTAAAGCACAATTCAGTGACAACTGCTGCACATTCAAATAACACAGTGCCACATTAAGTTTCTCTTCATTCCAAAAGAATATTGCAACATGGGAGGAAGAACATCCTAATTAACCATAAAACAATAGCACTAAGGTGTATCGAGGTGTATAACGTGTTTTGGAATGTGGAAGCTTAATATTGCAAAAGCTATTCAAGCTCCATCCACATACATTCTGTCTTAGGATGGGGGCGGAGAGGTTGCTGGTGTGATAGCTCAATTGATTAATCCTCAGCCTGCAAGCATGAACATCCCATATGGGCACTGTTTCGTATTCAGGCTGTTCTACTTCCCATCCAGCTCCCTGCCTGTAGACTGAGAAAGCAGTGAAGACAGCCCAAAGCCTTGGGACCTTGTACCCACATAGGAGACCGGAAGAAGCTCCTGGCTGCTGGTTTCAGATCAGCTCAGCTCAGGCTGTTGCAGCTGCCTGGGGAGTGAACCAGTGGACACATCTTTCTGCTATATCTCCTTCTTTCTATAAATCTGCCTTTCCAAAAAAAAATAAATAAATAAATCTTAAATATATATATATATATATATATATATGTTCTGGCTTAAACTTAAAAAAATTTGGGTGAATCTTCTCATGCTGACTACAGTCACCACCATCCTAAGGCATGTCAACTAAACAGCAGACACCAAGATCAAACTCAAAAAATACACACCCTCTGGGACAAGTTTACAAATCAAGACAAGACAAAACAAAAAGCATGGCCCTCACGTAGTCACCATTCGGTCATGTGTCCCTGTATTTGTGATGGTTTTTTCTGCCGCTCTGAGATGACTCACTCAGGTCTCCCCAGACCGCTGGAATTTTAACAAGGCGGAAACCTTAACTGGGGCACACAGTGTGGAAAGTGTCATGGTGGAAGTGAATGAATCAAAGAAGGAAAGAACTGGATAGAAGGCTGAGGTTTTCACAGAATCGAGGTTCTCCCAAAAGGCAGACCTCTGCAGAATGGGGCAGAGTAGGGCGGGCTGCCCCTCAGGCTCAGAGAGGCTTTCCTCACCCCCTGGTTGACTGCAGCCACTGTTCAGGCCACAAAAAGCTCAAGCAGCAACCTTGTCTGAAGCCCTAGCACAAACCTCTGCCGCTCTGCATAACCCAGCTTAGGGACAACCCATCAGTACCAACTTCCCAAAAGGCTTAACACATCCTGGTCCCTGGTGTCATAAAGTAGCAATACTCAACCTTGTACTTAGCTTGCATGTCACATTTTACAAAGCACTTGAACAAACACTACAGCTTTTGATCCATGCAACAACCCTTTGAAGTGGGAAGGGCATCATTTACCCAGACGGCTGCTGCTTTATGAAGAGTTGTTCATTCGCTAAGTCCACCCGGAAATCACAAACAAAATCCCATATTTATCCATCTTTGAGATAACTTCTCCTCAGTACCTCAATCTTCTCAGAAAACTCAGGGGTTCTGCAAGTGTTTTCTCTGCTTGCCCCTCAGAGTAAGTGAATCTCACAGCTCTGAATATTACTGAAGGGCTTAAACTACACACAGAGCTTTAAAGGTTTCTCTAGGGCCAGGCATTAAGCAGCAGCATCCTACTGTGTTTCCTCGCTGTCAAAGGTCAAAATGCAGAAGATGAATGATGTCATGAAGTTACACCCCTGCCTCCTGATGAGCTAGCACAACAATGCAGCCCACTACGCCAAGAAGCCTTGTCGGGCCGCGAGGACGCTTACTGACTATTAGAAAATTAAGATGCAGAGTGGCTCTCCTCATTTCCTGTCAGTTCAGGTTCACATCTTTAGCAAAGGCATCAGAAAAACTACAAATTCCTATGGCAAAGCTTTAAGAAAAGAAAAGGGGGGGAAAAGCTTAAAGAATTAGCTAATATTTTTTTAAATGCAATTTTCACAAAAGCTTTCTGAGGTGCACAACACACCCATGAATCCACACAGACTGACCCGCATCTCCATGCTGTCTTATCAAACCCGGCTCCGGGACATAAAATGACAAGGAGCAACATTAAAGACACCCAGTGAGACGACGGGAATGAAGACACCCCGAGCTGCGCCTGTGCCATGGCACATCACTGCATGCTCAAGGATGGCTTCGCATCTCAAAATCTCCCCGTCTCTTTTCACCCGTGATGACATCATTCGTCCGCACAAGGCAAACCAATTTGGGACAAAAGGTGGGTCGTGGATCGGAGCGAAAGAGGCAGCCTCCACCACCGCCTCCAGCGCCGTCATTCCTCCAGGAACACAGCCAAGGCTTGCAAGCGGCTTCCCCCCTCAAAGCCAGAGTCTCTCCCAGTACCACCACCACCACAAAAAGTTGTTCTCATAAAGGAATGACAACAAGCACCGTGTCACTGCCACCCAGTGCATCTCCCCCTGAGGGGTTCACCCCAGGGAAATCGGAAAAGCCTGACCAGAGACGGAGCTTTCAGCTTCCGGATAAAAGTCGACAGATGTTAACAGACAAAGCAATTGCCCAGGTCCACCCTTAACACCCCAGAGGTCTCAACCTGACTCCCCGGGGTGGGCAGGCTGGGGCCGCAGCGCCCTCTCACAAAGTGCTCAACCTCCCTTTACCAACGCGTTCCCACCCTTCCCGGCAACATGCCGCCCCAGCCCCAAACGTGGACGGCGGGTGTCCAACAAGGACGCCGGCCCTTCTCAGGGGAAAACACTCCGAGCAGCCAGCAGCGCTGCTTGTGTTTTTAGGATAGGCCAGTTCCGATCGCCGCAGCCCCAATCCTGGAGGGCACTGCACCCCATTTCCCTGTCCCACACCCCCCATAGCCATCCCGGACCCCAGGTCCCACGCCCCTTCGCGGGCCCTGGGATGCAAAGCGTTCGCTCACATTCCCATGCCTGGCTTGGAAAAGGAATTCTCCCCGCCGCATCCAATGGGTACCGAGATGACGACAGCAAGATCCCCCCCCCAAACCCAGCAGCACCGACCCTCACATGGGCTGTGCGAAGCCAACGCCGGACCCCAGGCGGCCACTGCCCCCCGCGGGCCCGGGGAATAAAGAGGGGAGCAGGCGCCCGCTCCCGGAGGGGGAGAGGCCTCACCTGGCCCAGCCCGCTCCACGCTCTCGGGTTCGCTCCGCCGGCAACGGTGGTGAGAGAGCCGAGTACAGGGCCAGAGAAGAGGCGCTCTTGCCTCGGGCCGCGCGGGCCGCGCTCGGGGTTCCTCACAGCTGGCGGGACCCCGAGCCGCCCACATCCGCCATTTTCCCCGACTCAAACGCCGCCGCCGCAGCTGCTCAGGCTGAGAAGACAGCGCTCAGCGCGCGTGCGCCGGGGCCGGGCCGCGGAGAACGCGCGCGCACTCACGTCTGCGCGGCGGGACAGCGCGCGGCGGCCCGGGCGTGGCGCCATGTTGGGAAGGGCAGTGGTCTCAAGCCGAGGTTCGCGGACAAGTAGGAATGGGAGCTCGGTGGGGAGCGGAACTTGGGCACCTGCCTGTCTGCCCTTGTTGGACACCCGCCGTCCACGTTTGGGGCTGGGGCGGCATGTTGCCGGGAAGGGTGGGAACGCGTTGGTAAAGGGAGGTTGAGCACTTTGTGAGAGGGCGCTGCGGCCCCAGCCTGCCCACCCCGGGGAGTCAGGTTGAGACCTCTGGGGTGTTAAGGGTGGACCTGGGCAATTGCTTTGTCTGTTAACACCAGTCGAGAGTTGGCTACGCTGTGTGAAGCAACAGAGGGCTTTTGCTTGTGGTTTGAGTCTAAGACCTACAGCCAGGAAATTAGCTCGCTTGCACCCCAAGGGCTTCTGGAGCCCAAGAGGGGCTGCAGCGGTTGAAACCTGTTGGGTTTCGCCAGCTCAATGCCTTGATTGTGCAAGCGAAGCCACCCTTAAAGGTAGCAAGTGAGACCATCCAGGCCTGCTGAGGTCTTGGCCACACCTTCAGGTGGGCGGTACCAACATTGCCCACCCATTTTCTAACTAATTCAGAGACCACAAATGGGGAACATCTTACCTGTAGGTTTCCCGCCCAACAAGGAGGGGTCAGGGAGGCTTAAAATCCCAAGACCCTTCCTCAAACCTTTGGTGTCTCCCTCTCCCGAAATGTGGGGGAGAATGTGCTGAGTGTATTACTTGAGTGGTATTGATAGTTCTGAGGTATTGGTCTCATGGCATCAGGGTTGAGAAAATGTTTCCAAGGTCTATTGGCTCACCAAATCCACCTCAGTGTGAATCTGTAGGCCCAGGAACATGTTGCAAAGCTTGGCCAGGGGACGTGGTGCAATGGCATAGTGGCTGAAGTCCTCACCTTGAATGCCCAGGATCCCATATGGGTGCTGGTTCTAATGCCGGCAGCCCCGCTTCCCATCCAGCTCCCTGCTTGTGACCTGGGAAAGCAGTGGAGGACGGCCCAAAACCTTGGGACCCTGCACCTGTGTGGGAGATCCGGGAGGAAGTTCCTGGCTTCTGGCTTCAGATTGGCTCAGCACCAGCCCTTGCGGCCACTTGGGGAGTGAATCATCCAACAGAAGATCTTCCTCTCTGTCTCTCCTCCTCTCTGTATATCTAACTTTGTAATAAAAATAAATAAATATTTTTAAAAAAAAAAAGCTTGGCTAGGAGAGTTGTCCAACCTGTTCTGCTTTCCACCCTCTGACGAGACAACTGATGTTCTCCACTGACCCAGATGAAGCAGCTATCACAGCCCCCGTGTACATCTGGATATGCTGCCCACTGCATAGACAGCAGCAACTGAAGAGATCCAGTCCCAGTACAGACACTCCCAGATCGGACCACACGCATTGTGATTCTCCCTATGGCTGGGTGTGAATCCAGCTGTCTAATTGGGAAGTTCCCCCAAGAAACCTCTCCTGGTGTGACCCCCACTTGACCCTTGTGTGAGCCAGCCAGTGCAGGGTCAGGTTTGGACCATCACCTACAGCAGCCGATGCACACACATGCAGCTGGTTGGTCCGTTCCACTCTGGCCCCATCCCTCACATTAACTGATGGATGTTGTGGCCTAGCTCAGCCCACCACAGGCCTGGTCTTTACACATACCACCAAGTATCACAGTCGAGTCTGGGCAACCCCTCCAAAACCTCTACCAGCCCCATCCCAGTCCCAGTTCATGTGCTCTGGGCCAGCCTGATCCATCCCACATCCCATCTGGCTCTTGTGTACACCCATGGGTGCTGCAGCTTAGTTCAGCCCACCCTGCCCCAAGACCCAGCCCACAAATATGCCAATGGGTGCTGCCACCTTGGCCAGTCCAATCTGCCACCAGCCTTGGCTCTTGTGTTTACAGAGGGAGCTGCAGTCTCGCACAGAAGTGTCCATAGTTAACCTACCAAGCCCGTCCCTAGCCCTGGATCTTGTGCTAACCAGTGGGTACTATGGTCCAGCCTAACACGATTTGTACCCAGGCCCACATTTGATCTTAACCAAAAGGCTGAGAAGCGATATTTTACCCAGTCCTGACACTTGCCAGCAGGTGCCGTGGCCTAGCCTGGCCCACATCGATTCTGGCTCCTGTGATTGCCAGTGGGTGCAGCAGCCTAGACCAACCTGGCCTGCCCCCAGGCCAGCCTGCCCCCAGTCCCAGTTCCCACACTCACCAGTGAAACAGCAGCCCACTCCCAGCACTGGATCTGGCATGTGTCAATGTGTGCTGCATCCCAGTCTGAGATGGCACACCCCCAGTAATGGCATTCACCAGCAGGTGCTATAGCTTGGCTCAGCCCAGCCTGCCCAACCAGTCCCAACTCTCACTGGCAGGTGTAGCAGCCTAGCCCAGTCTGGTTCACCCCTGTTGCCCATGAGAACTGGCGAGTGTTACAGTCCAACCCAGCCTGGCCTGTACCTCATTCTGGCTCTTGCTCAAGCCAGTGTGTGCTGTGGACTGGCCCAGCCCAACCCTCCCACAGACCCAGCTTACACCTATGCTTACAGGTGCTGCAGCCCAGCCTGGCCTGGCCTGCCCCCAGCCCCAGCTCTCATGCCTGCTAGCAGGAGCTTCAGTCTTGCAGGTAAATTCCCCAAGTTCCCCTATTAGGCCTGCTCACAGCCCTGGATCTCACAGGTGCCAGCATGTGGGTACTTCTGCCTAGCCCAATTGGCCTATACCTTTTCTGGCTCTCACTGGCAGATGCTACAGCCTAGCCCAGTGTGTCCCCTGTCCAATCTGGCTCTCATGTAACCCAACAGGTACTATGGCCTACCCTAAATTGTCCCACACTCATTCTGGATTTCATAAGCCTTATCTAGCCTGGTCCACTTCCAACCTCAACCTTTACACTCCCCAGTGAGAGGTATAGCTTAGCAAGGAAGTCCCCAAAATTCTCCTACCAGGCCTGATCTTGCACATGCAGGCAGGTACATCAACCTAACCTGGCATGGCCCATCTGCAGTCTCAGTTCTAGCTGCCAGGTGTTTGCAGCCCAGCCTAGCTGGGAACTGCCCACACCCTGTCCTGTCTCTGGTACGTGCCAGTAGGTGGTGCAGCCTGGCCTGCCCCAAGACCCAGCCCATACAAATACTGAGGAGTGCTGCAGCCTTGCTTGGTCCACCCCCAACCCCAGATATTATGCTCCCAGTGCTGCAGCCTAGCAGAGAAGTTTCCCAAATTCCCCTATCTGGCCCAGGATCTCACTTGAACCAGCAGGTGCTGTGGCCCTGGTTGGCATGGTCTGCCCTCAGTCCTGGACCGGCTCGGCTTCCTCCCAATCCTGGCTCCTACAAGTGTCAGGTGTGTTCCTGTCTGTTGAGTTCTGTGGTCCAGCCTGGCTAGACCTGTCACCACCCCCACCTCTCTGCAGTCCCACAGAAGCAAGCCCACAAGTTCCCTCAGAATCTGCCCTCAGATCCAATTATCTCCTGTTCTGATGGGTGCTGTGGCCTAGCCTGACATGCCCACTTCCTGTTCTGACGCTCATGGACGAGTACTGCACCCTATCCCAGCCAGGCATTCTTCCCAGCCCCAGCTTTTGCATGTGCCAGCAGGGGCGAGTAACGCTATTTAACTCAGACCAGCTCACACACACGGCAGGTGTCTTAGCATGACCCAGCCATGCTTTCCAGATTCCCTTCCCTAAACCACCCCATCTCATTTCACTTAGCTACCTGTACCTGCAGCGGCCTGGTCTGTGGAAGCCCCCAGAAGTCACCCCTCCCCTGTCAAACATGCCCTCAGCCACTCCCACTCCAACAGATCCCCAGTCGCCTTCCCTGGGCAATCTGTAGCAACTCCATCTGGGGGTCGGGGTGGTATGTCTAGGCCTTTATCCACATGTCTTCTAAAACAGAAAAACAAAATAGGCAACTATGCTGGTATAGTTAACGTAAATGTGTCATTAACCAGGCTTAGGATGCTTTTCTCCCAGCAGTGTTAACACTTGCCTGGATATAAAGCAACATAGGCAACTGGGGACTGTCATGCTGTTCCTTTATTTATTCGCATTGGAAAGGCAGTTCCACGGTAAGGAGGAGAGGCAGACAATCAGACATGAACTGGCACCCAAGGCAGGGATTAGTCAACCAAGCCATTCTGCTGGGCTCTGCCATTTTTTAAATTTTTTCTTTTTCCTACCCTCTCCTCCCCTTCTCTCTTCTCCTTCACTTCCCCCCTTTCCTTTCCTTTTCTCTTCTTTTTTTATTGGAAAGATGGATTTACAGAGAGAAGGAGAAACAGAGAGAAAGATCTTCCATTTGATGGTTCCCTCCCTAAATGGTCACAATAGCTGGCTCAGCTGTTTTGAACCAGGAGCCTGGAGATTCTTCCAAGTCTCCCTCGAGGTGCAGCCACCAGCAGGGAGCTGGAAGGAAAGCAGAGCAGCCAGGACACGAGCCGGGACCCATATGGGATTCTAATACACGCAAGGTGAGGGCTTTAGCCACTAGGCTCTTGTGCAGGCTCTGCCATTTATTTCTTAACAACTGCTAACAAAGCCCCAATTTATGCAACAAATAGAACTTTTTCTCACTAGAGGCTTTACTCTTCCATTCCCATCATAGACTGTTCTAAGTTTGGTTTTTTTTAAAGATTTATTTTTATTATTTTTTATTGGAAAGGCAGATATACAGAGGGGAGAGACAGAGAGGAAGATCTTCCGTCCGATGATTCACTCCCCAAGTGAGCCACAACGGGCCAATACTATGCCAATCTGAAGCCAGGAGCCTCTTCCGGGTCTCCCGCGCGGGTGCAGGGTCCCAAAGCATTGGGCCGTCCTCGACTGCCTTCCCAGGCCACAGGCAGGGAGCTGGAAGGGAAGCGGGGCTGCTGGGATTAGAACCGGCGCCCATA